TTACTTGTTTTATATTATTAATTGTAGTTTATAATTGTTTTATTGTATATTTGATTTTAATTATTTTATACATTTTTTTACTTATATAGTTATTTTTTAATTATTCTGTTGGTTTTGTATTTAGTTTTATATTGTGCAGAATATTTTTATATTTTTTGCTATTATTTTCTTATCATGTTTGATTATGCCATGTTATGTAGATATGATCATGTGAATTAAGTTTATTAGGCAAAATGAAAAGAGTACATAGACAATTGGTATTTATCTGATAGAACATAAAGATTGTGAAATCAAAATGGTTTTGTTTGTTTCTCTGAATGCTAATAATTATAATCTGAAAACCTATACTATATTTGAGAAGAATTGTCTTTATTCCATTGGCAGTAAAATCATTCCTGGAGTTTATTGTAGAAAAAAAAGCCAAAGGTATTAGTGTTTAGTTTTGTCAGTTATTTAGTTTTTTTTATATAATATAATAATAATAAGTAAATATCTATGTTTATTCATATTTAGATGAAAGTTTCTATTTCAACCTGTATGGGTATTTTTAACTAATATGATAAATTTAACAAATGTCTTCTGAAAGTTTTTTTAGTAGGAGTTTCTCAAGAGTTATCTTGTATAGTCAGGAATGACAGAAATGCTATTTTCAAGATTATGATAAATGATTATGCTAATCAAGAATACAATTTTATCATTAAAGTTATTTTTTCTCATGACAATCTATGTTTCATTAATTTGAAGTGTTTGATTTGACCACTTAGTTCGGTTGTTTTCATTGTTGGACATATAGAGGTTTTTGATAATGATTTTTATATATACATAAAGGATATTAATTATATTAATACCTATTTTTCTCCAAAGCTAAATGTTCTTGATAAAGGTAGTTCAAGTAATCTATCTGATGTTACTAATACAACTCAGGCAAAACTTTTAGCTATTCATCGGATATTGTTAAAAATTCAAAAGAGGCTTCTAATATTGAATTATTTTTTTCTACTCTTTTAAACAACAAAGGTATTAAGTCTAAGTTTGGGCCTCTAGCATTAGATAGTAATTTTTCTTCAAGGTATATAAAAGTTGAAGATGTTATTTCTGATATTGATAATATTGATAATCACATTTCTAATTTTGATGAAATTATTGATGTAGATAATGTAGTTCAAGAAAATGAAATTAAAGGTGATATTAAAAAAGAAAGAGATAAAAGAAGCATGCATGGTAATAAGAAAGGTAATATACATTTTAGTTGATCTTTAGTATCAGTCAATAATCTTTCTTCAAAGCGAGTTAAGATCAAAGAATTTACTTCTGATATTGATGATATTGAAAGTTGTGTTCCCAATCTTGAAAAGTTATTGATACAGATGAAGATATTCAAAGTGATGAGATTAAAGGTGCTGCTAAAAAAGAAAGAGGTAAAAGAAGCATGCATGATAGTAAGAAAGGAAGTGGATATGCTAGCAGATCTTTGTAATATTAAGCAGGAATGACTATTGTATATTTATCAGTTTATTTCATGTATTGTTGTTATGTATATAGTATTATCTGAGTTATATAAATTATATATATTTTTTTTAATGTACTGTAAATTTCAATAAATATACATTATTATCATTTGCTTATCTTATTTGTTTGTGGTTTTTCACTGTTTTGGTGTTTTGATTTATATAATATTATTGTTAGTTATTATTATTAGTTGTTGGTTAGAGATGGTACAAAACACATATTTTATATTACTTTATATACATAAATGCACTTACAATGCACATGATATTATGTGTTTTCTTCTTTGCTTTTATATTCTTTACTTTACTTCAGAAGATATTATATATTTTTAATTTTATTTATTTTCTTTTTATATATTTAAAACTTTTAGATCATTATTTCTTGTCCTTGATTAGTATTATTTATTTGAGCCTCAATTATACTACATTAATAATTCTTTTATAAAAAATTATAATAGGTCAAAACACAAATAACCAGAAAATTATTTGCATGCTTGAAGCTTATTTCCAAGCTCATTTATTTTTTTTTTATATATTGATTTATTTGTTTTTAATATAATCATATATCAAACTAGTCATGTTTATACAAAATAATAGAAGAAGGGGCCCCAGGTGCAAGGAGGGTGAATCTAGAAAAACTAAATATTTTAAATATTAGGTTTCATAATATTAATGGTATTAAAAGCAACAAAACAAAATTGGAAGCTCTACATAGTTTTTTTTAACTTATACTTAGTTAAATCATTATAGTTGTTCAATTTAATTTAAGCATTATATAAATAGATTGACTAAATTTTATTTGGATGTGAGTATATTTGATTAAAAATCACAATAGTAGTTCTAAGTATACAATGTTTTTTGTAACAAATGTATTAGGTGAATAGTTTTGCTTTGTAAGTATTAAAATATGATTTTGTTGATAGACTCATGTAAGAGCAGTATAAAGCTGACTATGACCAAAGACAAGAGTATGCAAGTCAAGTACTATCTTGTCTAGAGTTAGCTCTTGTGATGAGTTGAATGTTGAAGAATATACAAGGTATAAAGGAAATTGGCAGTAACTAATCTTGAAAGGAAAGTAAGAATTCTAAACAGAAAGGTTATTTGTAGTAAGTATACAATAGCATTTGTAATAGAATTTTGTACAATAATCAGCATGTGTCCTATATTCATTATGATAATGCAAATATTTTTATATAAGCCATCTTGCAATAAAGGTTCCTCCTAATTGTAGCAACATATCTACATTTTAATATAAGACAATGTTTAGGTGTTCCAGATAGGATGAATAAGTTTAATAACTTGATAGTGATCATATTTTATTGAAAATAGTAATTTTTACTATTTGGTTTATCATCTGCCAAACTATCTGTACTGTATAAGTCAACTGCATCACTTTTTAATCATTGTAAAACTGTATTGTTAATCAAATTTACTTTTAAGTTTAGTGAAGAAAAAATAGCCCATTCTAGATATATAACTAGATTATTTAATATATCTACTGAAAAAATAAAATCAATAGTATTTTCTAAGTTATGCATTGTATTTAATAATGCCAAAGACACATCTTCACCACTTATACCATCACCAACATTATCTATTAATTGAGAGTAATCAAGATCAGAAGCATCTCAAATAGGTTGCTAAAGATCATAGATTTTAAATATATTCTAAATAGAAGAGGATTTAATTGATTCCAAAACTATAGCTGCTTTTCCAGTATTAGAAACTACAGATGTCACTTGGCAAAAGTCATCTATTCTAATAAAGATCTTTCTATCAAATAGTTTGTTACAATTGCAAAGTTTATGAAGAAGTATATCCACCACTTCGATATTATCTTTTTATGCTATAGACATCTCATTCTATGTTATAGCTATTAATTTCTAAATTAATTTAGCATGTTTACTATTTGCAATAACTTGGCATTTATATCCACTATCATCATCCTCTACTAGAATGTGAAATAATAAATATGTAATACAACCTCCATTATAGTTAAGTGTAGCCAACCTTGTGATTGTACAAGAAAGTATTATTTATCTTAAACTTTGAATCGCAATGCAAATTAATTTTATCAAAAATGTTTTACCATGATCTGCATGATCTTTATAAATATAGTTAAAGGTAGATTTTTGTATATATAGTTTATAATTACTTGGTAAATAATTTTTTGTTCATAGTTAAGTTGTTTAATCTTTTCTTTTAATTTTGTAGTTAATTCATCATAGTTACTATATTAGGTTTTAGTGCGCATTATTTCTATAAGATATCCATGTGGTTGTGGGAAACCAGTTTGTGATATTTTAATTACATGTTCTTCCAAAAAGATGGTAATCCATATTAATGTCTTATTTATTCCTTGATATATATTGTCTTGCCTGGTAATAATTAGCTAACAGTAATTTATAATAATTTTGCCAGATATTTTGTTGAGGCATGCTTTTTATAATCAGATGGCAGAAAAGTAAACAGAGCTGCCAGGTATATAATTGTAAGATATAGCTTCATCAAAACACTGTTTATTTCTGTTAAATCTCCTAATAAACTAAGTGTATGTGACCATTCTGAAAAGTGAAATACATGATACCATTTACTGTTCGTAATTTTTTTTTTTTTTTTTTTTTTTTTTTAAGGTGAGGCCTTGCTCATATCTTTATTGGTAATTTATACAAGTAGTTAC